TAACATTAAAATATTAAACTGATTATACACCGTGTCCCAAAAAAAACTGAACAATTTTATTTACTTATAAAATGTTTATTAACAATCACACGATAACCTAATTACATTTTAACTGACACAAATATTCCTAAGTTTTGTTTGATATCATATGTGTTAGTGAATTTCAACATGGTTGCCATTGTTGGCAGAAAGAGAGTCAATACGGCTGTCCAATTCAGCCCACACTCTATGGCGCATTTCGTCAGTAATGTTGCTGCATTTATTCTTTGCCTCAATTCTCGGACATCGGAAACTTCTGTCTTATAAACTTATAATTTTGACAAATTTGAAATTTAACTCACATGCTGCACAGCGAATAGACTTTCGAGGGTCGTGAAGAAATAATTGTTGCACGTTTTCAATCAATTTATTTTGGATTTTCGGCCTACCTTTGCCTTTTAAATGTTGTAAGCTTCCAGTTAACATAAATTTGTCATACCAGGCTCGAATGCTGTTCCGTGATGGAGGACGTCGACCATATAGCGTCTTCTAAATGTTCTTTGCACTGCAATATCTGACTTACTTTGAATGTACCACGGTACCACTCAACGCATTGCGCTTTCTCTCGTGCGTTCATGGTGCCTGCTTAATGACAGGGCAATATTTTTAAATTTCAAGTTTCAAGCGACAACAATGAATCAGCTGATAGTTACAATTGATATTGAACAAAACTTCATGAGCTCAGTTATCATATGATCACCTTCAAAGTAGACTAGATATGCCTGGACGTTTTATATAACAATTTAAAATTGTTCAGTTTTTTTGGGACACGGTGTATAATAATTTTCGATAAGTGACGAGTCCTTTTTCCTCCGTTTTTTCAATTCACAAAACATTGTATTTAGGTTCAAATAGTTGACCTTCAAACATAACCTATGAAACTCACAAATACAACCGCAAACATTACATTTCAAGCAGTAAACACAACGTTGAAATTCAGGCGTACCCGGAAGTATTCAAACAAAAACAAGCGCTGAGAACGAAGTAATAACAAGTTTTAACGTCAACTTCTTTACAACTTTAGACAGGTTGAAGCTAAATTATTAATTCCTACATCTCACATGTCATAACCAATAAGGTGACAACACACACTATGGCGTTTTTAATAAATCAACTAGTTTGATTTTCCTCGTTTTCTTTACCTTGTATTGTAATTCAACCCTAATAATACTTCCCTCTAAATAATTCACCCTGTTCGAGATTGAATTTATTCAGTTTAACAATATGAGCTTTGTAACATATTATGGATTTCAATCTTGGCATAAAATTGAATATTAATGATGAATCGTTTAAGTTTTACGTAGTATGTAATAATTATCGCTGTAATGATTAGGAAAAAGCTATGTAACCTGAAGGACACACGTAAAACATAGCTAAAACCTCGTAACTATTTTCATTTTCTCTCTTAGCATAAAATTGAATATTAATGATGAGTCATTTAAGTTGTACGTAGTATATAAAAATTATCTTTATAATGATTAGGAAAAGCTATGCAACATGAAGGACACAAGTAAAACATAGCTAAAACCTCGTAACTTTTTCATTTTTCAATATTGATTTTAAATTAAATTTGCTAATTAAATGGTTTAGTTAGTTAGTAAAATGACTAACGCTTTTGTAATAATCAATTGCTATGAAAAAATATCATTCGTTAATCGTTTTAGAAGGGATATTAATCCCTTCTAAAACTGCATTGGATAGCGAAATTTGTGATGCATATACAAGAATTTTATTAAATATTTGTTTAAACGCTTTTCTACATAATCTATACTACAATAGTCAAGATAATTATTTATAATTACTTTTTTTTAAATTCATAACTATACTGTTATTTTTGCAGATTTCACTTAATTTATAATTTTTTGTATTCAATTGCTTGCAGTTTTCTAGAAGGGCAATTGTTTATTATCTTTTATGAGATAAAATTTATCCGTCACGATGTAATAATGATATAAACCAGCCATTTAGCTTGCACAATTTTTTTAATTGCGTAGGTTTACAAACCAATAAAAAATAAATATTCGTTTAAATGTATATGTAAAACTTGAAAGTAGACTATTTAATCATCCAATTATCCATGAAATCTTTTGAAGATTATTTCGATTTCCCCAATATTGTCATTGTGTTAATTATCGTTAGCGCTCAAAATTTAAAAAAATAAACAAATACCATTAAAAGTCCCAAGTAAACCTACTATAACGCTATTTTACCATTTTATTTGATTTCCAAGTTAAATTCCATTACATTTAATTGAAGTAGTAACATTATTAAATTGATTGAATTTTGTTTTATTACTCTGAGATTGAATTTAATATTGTTGGTATATAATAATATAATTAATAATATGTTGATAATATAAATGGATAAATATACGGATTTATTGATTGGATAAACTAAAAAAATAATGATTATTAACTATTTTGTTTACTAAAACAATAACGATAAACTTAAGTGACATCATTGTTTATCCTTTCTTGGAAGGAAAGAAACCAACGTTGACGCTACAAACTGAGAGTTTTATCTTAAATTTATCTATGACATACAGACACTGTCTGCTGTTTTGGTAGCAAATCGCTTCCTAGAACATGACTGATCGATGACTTACACTACCAATGTTGGTGTGTGACACACTAATTGGTTCTTGAAATTTGGCTGCCAAATCAGTATCGCTGCCAGTGCTTGGCATAATATGAGCATAAAATTATATAAATAAGTCTGTAAACGACCTAAAGCTGCGTTATAGTTAAGAAAATCTTTATAATATCGTGTATGAACCGTTGACAGCTTCACGGAGGAAAACGATGAATTGTTCATCTTTAAACAAAAATTATAAATGTCAACGAAGAACTTGACATTTTGAGTTTACAATACCTCAACATTGTCCAGATTAAACATTATAAAAAAAGTGATGTTTTAATTATAAGAAGTTTAACATGAAATGGAGAAAGCCAAATAATTTTAAATTGAATACAACGTTGATTAGTAATATTATGTTGCCAATGTGCATTTAAATGTATTTGCCAACTATTAGTTTTACGTTGTTTTGTACAAACAACAAACTGGGAAATTTAAAGTTCATTTTAAGATTTAATTAACTCAACAAAATCATGTTTCATCGAATGTGATAAGCATGTAATAAGCATCTTGTCGCATGTATCACAATGTAAAACGATTGTAAAAATGTTGTTTGCCGTAAAAATAAATAAATAAATGTGAGTGTATTGTTATGTTCGATGTTTTAACTCTGTAAACGGTGTTGTGTTGCCGTTTAGAGTTTGGACGCCTTTTGTTCTAAATAGTCAGAAATACATTAGTTGATTTTCTGTATTACAGAATTAGAAGACCACAGAACATTGACATTTTGGGGCCACGCCTGTATGGAATAATATCTATGAGCATATTGTAAATGTTTAATTATTTATAATTGATCAATTTCTTCGACAAGCTGAAAGTATGATCGTTCATTTTCAGTTTTGGGATCTCAATGTGTATGCATATATTGATTATGTTCAATCATTTATAGTAGTACTCTAGTCTTTGTGTCATCTTTTAGATGAGTATACAACAAAACGGAAATAAAAAGTTCATTTAAATTTTCAGTTTTTTATCAAGCCTTACGATTTTGTCTAACAAACCGGGAAGTTTTTATTTCTCACCCAAATAATGTTTAACAAAGTGCAAATTAGCCTGTTAAGTTTCAACGTACATAATAGATACCTAGTGTGCTCAAAACCCCCCGATACATTTAAAAACCACAACAATAACACAAGATCTTAAACCGTAAACGAAAGTGTTGAGCGCCCAGAGCAAGTGTTTAGTGCAGAAGTTGACCAGCCATTGCATAACGCTATTGGTTGATTGTATGCACCACTACGGTACCCGTGAATTAAATAGAAATTAACCCGTTGTCGCCCTCCTAGGGTGAACTACCCCTTTACCGGTATCCTCAGACGGGTCAGGTATAGCAAAAACTGTTACCTTCCCTCTCATGTCTAGTTTGAAAATGCCCTAGGCGATCGGTTCTAGTAGACTTACTATACAGTATAGATTGAGGTAAACGATTACTATGCAGCCCAGATAAAGGAAAGCTGACGGATAGTAGATGCATTTATACGCAATTGAATATAATGTCCGTCTACTGGTTTGTTGCATGTGAATAGAACAATTATAAAGCCTGGAAATTTTTGAAAACAAATAATATGTTGTCAGAGAGCTTTCGATTAGTTGCTCGATGAGAAATAATGTAACATGGCTTTGGTCGAAAGAAATTGAGTCATTATGATATGATATGATGTATCATCATACATTAAGAACTAAGGAAAGCGTAGTTGTTATCGCGGTAACCGATATATCGTGTAATACGATTTCGAAAATTATTACGGCTTTACTACATAGTTGTTGGTAAGATCTCGTTCGTGGTCTTGTGGTAATGTGTTTGAAAAAATTACAAATTTTAGTTGCCTTACCAACTAGGCTACTGTATGAAGTGCTTCTTTCTAAACAAAACATGCAACATTCAATTAAAAATAACTACGCATTTGCTCTACTACTTAAACAGAAACAGTCTGAGAACAATAAATAAATCAGCATTGCAGTATTGTATCATGTAAGGTAAGGTACTTTACAAGCGTTTTCGAAGGACATGCATCTTAGTATCTACTCTCAGGGGACAAGACGCCTATGTGTTACTGTGACTCATCTTCAAGATATCGCTTACTTTACATTGACTCACTGTAGTATGGATTTACACTATACTACTCTATAGAATCGTCTACATAGATGTACACTATTCCCTGTGTTAGATACTACATATACATCTTCTACATTGACTCACATTACTATCTGAGCACTGTAGCATCGTCTACATCTACGATGAGCACTAAACATGGACTTACACTATACTCTGATCTCTACACCATAGACCTACCCTATACTCTGACCACTACAACATCGCCACTCACCAGCACGGAGGGTAGTGTCCACTTGGTCCATTTCAGAGCGTCACTCGCCACTCACTCATTGTAGAGGTACCTAGTACCCGACCACTCGCCGCTCACGCTAACACTGTGTGTGACACAAGCTAGAGAGTAGAGAAGACCCTTCGCGCGCTCGCGCATACGCACCGCCACGCACTCTTCAAAGGATAGAAAATGTGGAGAATGCTTCCCATCCCCTCGCCCCTCGCGGCCGCGGCAAAGGCGCGAGATCCCCCTCACTCTATCTCTCTCACTCCGCTCTATCCCTCTCTCTCTACTCTAGCTTCCCCACTCCCACGTCCATTCATTTCGACACCAACAAGAACTATACAATCACAAGGTCACTGGACTAGAAAAGATTGTTTTGGGTCACAATTTGAACCGAAAGTACGTCAGGCTAGAGACAGACTTGGGAAATCAATTATTATATGTATGGTGTGTTAATCTTAATGCGATTTTTGATCTCTCACCATTTCAAAGAACCAGAATTCGGGAATCTAAATTAAAAGTTGCATTGATTATAAAATAACTTTGAATCTTTAATGCTCCAGTATTGGTCCAAAACGCTTGGTAAGAATAAAAATAACCACAACAATCCATGATTTCGATGAAGGGTAAATTAATTAAAATTAAAAAGTACGAATTCCGAAAAAATTTAAAATTTGTAAGTAAAAATCGTATTTGACAAAAGTTACAAAAATCTCAGTAAAAAAGATGGTAAATAATATGAAAATTGTTAATATGTACATTAATTATAACGTATATACTAGAATGGTACTTGTATAAACGTGATAAAACCAAGCAAGGAGAAGATACAGTTAGAGTACAGGAATAAAAATAATAACCTCAGGTACCATACCTTTTGAGAGAGAATACCCCCAAAAAGTGTTACTAATTAAAATGTATTGTATACTCAATTAGAAAAACCAACTATCGGAATTCTGACGCATCTTACTATATTAATTTATTACAGAACGCTGTAATGAGTATAGTGTAAAAAGCAGGTTAAAGTACTTGAATGTACATTTACGCTCCATCTCATGTAAGGAACCCCACTATCGGAACTAATTATCCGTTGAGTACTGTAGGTCGACGAGCTACAAAGTTACGAAGCGTTTAAAACTACATGAAATTCTCATTGCAAGGTAAGAGGAATGAACTGGGTTGACCCCACGTTGTTTTTTGGAGAAATCGATGCACCCAAAGCGCACGCGTTTCCGGAATGGATTTTTGGACAGAGAAAGTAAAACATCTGATGTTGGGTGGTGAGAGTTTTTCGTTTACTTTTAGTCGTTTGGAACAAATACTAGTATTGGTTTCGTGATGTTTTACGGTCTGCACTCAAAGCTGATAGTTTGCAAACAGAGCAGCACTTTCCATTTTTGCGTTCTCCCCCTATAGTATACAGGGTGAGTCGTCTAAGCTGTCCTAAACAGATTACAGACGAACGGCTTGGGACTTGACATACAGAGATGAAACAAACATTTCCTCCAATAATTCATACCCAAGGAACAACGTATAAATATGGTTACCATTTTTAAAACACAGGGTGTTCAAGAAACTGGGGGTCATGGGGCCGAATCTCAGAGTATTAAAATGAAAACATATGTCAAGTTATATATAATTTCAAAGCTCTAGACTATACAAACAATTTAGAGAGAAAAAAAAACTCCTTTACCTGCATCCGTTTCAAAATTCGCCCATTTGTATGACAAATATTGATATTTACAAAATACCCTGTATCTTAGAAACCACTAAACTTATTTTTGTTCTGTTAGGAAATTCTTAATCCACGTGAGTCCAGCTTTAATTTTATATACTACATGTCAAAATATTAAATCTCAAAAAATGTTCGATGAATTATTTTTTTAATGTTGGTAGCCTTGTACATTAAAACTTTTAAATGGCAACATACGTCAAATAGTGTATCATTTTGAAGGTCTTGCAAAACCAAACAACTTTTAAACTTAGATTCACCGTTTATCTTTGATAGTTTTCTAGTAATTAAGCAAAAACTCCACTTGCCTATATAAAACCCATGACTTGCAGTACTGGAGATTAGTGGATGCAGATACACTATTTAATACAGTATTGCACTTTAACATGGGTTTTATATGGGTAAGTTACTCCTACCGCTTACCCATGATAAAGGTAGTAGGTTGATGACAAGCTTATGGGAAAGTATGAGCCAGATGCAGATTGCGTTTATTACGTGTTGTTGTTTGCATGGATAAATCGGTATCAGTTATTCGTAGCTTTTAAATCATAGAAGTTCTGGCGAATTTTCTAGGTGAGGCTGACAAAGAAAACAAACCTGTATTATTTTGATGTTGCATTGTGCTGTTTTCAACATTTCGTATACTAAACCGTGGTGACGTGATTCATAGATTTTTTTATGACGTAAAACATTTCATTCATTTCTGAAGGGACCAACGTCTATTTCTAAAAATATTCGAAATGTGGATATTTCTTAAAATCTGTCAAAAAACGAATTTTAAAACACTTAAATTTTAGAGGGCAATGTTTCGTAACGCAAACCTAAACCAAATTTCACCCCTGATGATGTTGATGAGATTGCCAGATTAATAAAGGCACACGTAATGTGTGATCTCGACTGAAGCCTGAAGTTGATTGCCTCGTCAAATTAATCAAATTGCCTCCGCACACAAAACACGTGTTCATATTGCACGTTGGCATGCTTAATTACCTTCTGTAATGTAGTGCACGTTTTGTTGACTTTTATGAAGATTAAAACTTAAATTTGCTTTGGGGAACGTACAAAGCGATATTTTTTTTGTCTCGACATTTCTATCAATCATGCATACGTTAAAACCTTAAATAATTGGTTTTTTACTGGATTGCGGTAAGTAATATTGTATACTGAGAAATTCTCTTTGGTATATTTTGTTTGTATATCTTGAGAAATTGATTTTAAATATTTATAAGTGACTTCCCTAACAATATTTTAGTATTCTTCTAAATAGGATTTTGGTTAAGGGTATTTAATTCTTAAATAGCATGTATATTAGGTATATACATTTACCACAACGAGAGATTGATCAGAGAACACGTAATGATTAATTTTAAACTGTTATAAAAGGCGCTCATGGTTGATATCGGTAGTTTATGCAGTGTGTACAGTACAGTATATGTCACTATGAACGCTAATATATTCTTAAATGTTAGTCGGATTTGTAAGTGACACGTGTTTACATTTTTCGGAAGACTTTTAAGAGCTTTAATTATTTTTTACATCGATAGTATCCCATCAAATTTAAAATCATAATGAACTTTAGTCGTAAATGATTGTAAATTTCTATAAAAATACAATATTTTTAATAAAGGAAAATTGTATTGGTTTTTGTCTGGGGTTATATTAACTTTGCCTAACTGAGTTTTAAAGGAACGTAGATACACACACCTCAGAACGCACCGTGATTTAAGTGTTTTAAAAATATAATGTACCCTGAGACTGTTATCCACGATAATAAAAATTCGATTAAGTTGTAAAGTCATTTATTACTAAATTGAAATCTTTATCATAAAAAATTGCTGTGTTCTGATTACATTCACTGTTTATTCATTTGTATCAACGTGTTTGTTTAAAAATACATTCCTCGGGTTCACAATTAAATTGTCGTCTCACATAATTATCAAAGATCCGGCTCCCGGAAGTCCGTATCTTTGCCCCCTTATCTTTCTGATAACCGTGATTTGGGCCGAAAAATGCTCTTTGGGTATCCACTCGTTATGGGGAATTAAATTATACCAAAGACAGAAGAACATTTTTACGTAGTATTTTAGTATGACTAATTAAAGCTTAAGCTTTTTATTGCTGGAATGTTTATCACTTTAAGTATAAAATCAATGACTTCCACTATAGATGGAGCTAAAGTCCTTTGGCTGTGTGGAGGCGGCGAAACGGGTTGGTTTTAGTATTTTATATTTTGTCTCCCTTCCTCCTATGATTTTCATAAATTGTTATCCTCGATTTATGAGCTAATCCAGAACTTGGTTATGTCTTGGGTATTTTATGTATATGTTAACTATTTATACCGAAAATACAGCCAAGCGAATTAGGCAAGTAGTTATGCTCCTTTCATATTATTCAACATTTCACTTGCATCCCTTATTACTTTTTGTTCATTAACTTTCAATCTTTCGATATTGTATTTGTATTTGTATTAATATCAGCATGTCAACCTTGAAGAATGGTGTAACCGTAAATAAATAAATAAACAACTCGCATCATTGTATTGCATTCGTCATGTTCTAAAATTTCTTACCCCAACGATTCATATAGTATTTTTAAGCCTGCTTGCATGCATTCGAGCTACAATATTGTTGAAAAATCTCTGTCCTGTTTTAAGAATTTTAGATTATTATTACCGTACTTATTAAAATTTCCAGCAATAATCATGTATAAAAAAAAACAACATGAACTCTACAACATCAAAAGTGAACTTACAAGCTGTTTGTTTAAGCAACATTTGCACTATAAACGCCATTGTTGCAGTATGATTCACAAGAGTGAATATGTGCAAATAATTGCGCAACGATTGGCCCAAAACTGACCAATGGGCGCAGAGTGCATCGTGGGAGGGGAAGGGTGCATTGAAGGGGGTGCAACGCGAAGGGGAATCTGTTTAACGTATTGGATTACTAAATTAATAACATTATGCTTCCATAAGCATCTGTCTAGAAATCCATTACTGACGAACTGAACAAAGAAACTGCGATAACTGAAATAGGACTAGTTTCTATATTTATATACCGTAATTACAGCTTTTTCACTGTAAATTGATTGGAATCATATTTTTATGGTGTTTTACGTGAATAGTATGAGAACTTGAAAATTAGTCTTTCTGTTGTCAATTTCGCTGCCTACTCCGCGAAAACTAGAAGAGCGAAATTTCAAGTATTCGCTAAATTAATATGAACGTCTTGGACAATTCCAACTTGGCCCAACTCGTTTGTAAATAAAATTACAAACGTTCAAGAACGTTGTTTTGTGTAATATTTGGGACATTTTCTGCCAAGCTGTATTGCAAATATCATCTATTAAATGCTACAACAGTTTA